GGTCACATACCTTCCCTAGGGGCTGTAGGACCTTGTAGATGATGGGAAGGCTTAAGCGCTGAACCAAGGTAGCTGTGAGGCAGGGTTTTGCACTATGTGACTGGTGCGTCATCTCTTCACCGAGGTATGTAGCTAGTTCTATGTTAGGCCCCTTGGTTGTCTAGGTAAGTGCGAACCAACAAACAGCCCAACTCACGCTAGGTCGATTTAGAGGAAATTACTTTTATCCCCAGCATAAAATTTTATTAAAAATCCCCACTTGACCTTGAAATGGTCTTGAAAACATGGGTTCAAGGACATTGGCAGGGTCATGGTTTGGTCTCCCCTCGACATTCAACAATTTTTCTCACAAACACTATCCGGGAAAAATCAAGATTTTTTGGCTTTCTGCTTCGATTAGGAATTTATCTTTGAAATGACCTCTATGGTCAACTTTGACCCATAACATAAAAGTTCATCTGGACGTAAAATTTTGCGCTCTTTCAAAATCCGGGATCAAAAATATGGGTTTCTATTTGAAAATTGAAAGTAGACTTTCAAATAACCTTGAAAATGAAGGTCAAGGTCATTGTCAAGGTCATAGTTCAATCAGCCCCTTCATATCCAACAATTTTTGTTTTAAACATTTTTTTATTTAATCGCGACGTTTCGAGTTATTTGGCTGTCTAAGTTAAAATGGGTCACCCTGTATATGTATATGTGTATATAATTGACAGAATAAACTTGGCGAGAGCCGTTTATGCCGATGCCGACATATATCTCATAGACGATCGTTTAAGCGCCGTAGACGCCCATGTGGGTAAGCATATATTTGAAAAATGCATGGATAAATATTTACGAGGCAAGACTCGAATTCTCATTACTCATCAGTTGCAATATCTACGCAACGTCGGTAGAATTATCGTTTCAAAGGACGGAGCTATCCAAACTGAAGGGTGATTCTACTGCACTTTCTATCTTTTCAATTCATCTTGTTATTTGCGTAGGTTAATTACCTGTTAACATGATAGTATCATTGTCTTTTCGTAGAAAAAAATATATAAATATCAATGTTGATTCGCTTGTAAGCGTCACTTCTATTACTTTATATGAAATTATATGTTCATCAGCACTTACGATGAGTTAGGCTCTATGGGAATAGATTTTGGTCGACTGTTAAAAAATCAAGTGGAGGCAGATGAGAAATCGTCTGTACTTTCCTCGCCTCCCGTTAGCCGTAAAAATTCGCTCATTGCCAGTATCACGTCGCTGAGTTCCTTAATGACGAATAATAGTTCGAAACAGGATCCTGATGAGGTAAAAAATTTAGGGATTTATTTTATAAATTATTTTCTAACTGTTAATATGTATCTTGTTTAATTAATATTATTATTTAGAATAATTAAATTGATGAGTACAGAAAAAGGACGAGTCTAATTTAATTTAAAAATAAATTTTTTTTTATTTTATCTTGAAATAGGTATTCCTTTAGTGTAAATAGAACATCTTTCCAGACTAAGGACCTAAAGTAAACATTGAAGATGTACAATAAGTCAGCAAGTTCAGTATACACTCGTCTCCTTTGAAAAAACTGGAATCATCCTTGAATATTGAAGAATATTTTTTAATGAGATTTTTGAATAGGGAGAGAGAGAGAGCCAACAATTAAGTTTGAAGAACAATAGAAGAAATATTTTAATAGTCAGTGTTTTTAAAGTGTTTTTTTGTAAATTATTACACAATTATTTAATATAAAGAGAAGTAATTGTTTAACATAGTTTAAGATAAACTATCGTATCTGAATAATATATTATCAAATTTTTTGTTTCCTTATCATCAACGTTGAGTGCAGAAAAAGCATATATCAGTCCAAATTTGAAAGTCAAGTTTTTTTTATTTAATAGACAAGATTCAAGAAATCAGCAATGTTTAAAAAATACTATTAAATGTCATATTTAAATTCCCAATAGTAATTCTGTTAAAATTTCCATTAAAATTAATCAGGTTTTTATTGAAATATTGAAAAATTTGATAAATGTGATTTATTCTCTTTTCGCACACACTCAATTAGAAATATCTTAAATTATGGGAAAATATTAGTTCTGAAAATTTAAAATTATTAGTATAGATAATTAATATAATTAAATAATAAGTTTTATGTAATTTAAAAAAAACGCATGTCTCGAAATCGTCATACTTTTTTTATCTTGGAATAATTTTAGATTTTATAACAATAAATTATATTATAGTTAACAGTTAATTTATGTTAATCGTTAATTTCAGATGACTGAGATGCAAACGGTAGGCAATGTTTCCGGCAAAGTATTCACTGGTTATCTCCGTGCTGGTGGCAACTGGTGCGTTATATTCATAGTAACCATGCTTAGCGTAGCGACACAATTAGCGGCTAGCGGCAGTGATTTCTTTCTTGCGAATTGGGTTAATAAAGAAAGACTTCACGTAAGTGTGTCACTAGACACTAAGTGTTGTTAAAATGATCGGCGAATTGAGAGTGTAATCACATTTGCAAGAGATTCGAGAAGTGTAAAATTTTACAACAAAGAGTACTTTAGTAATATTTTTTATGTTAGGTTTCAAATAGGTACTTTTTATGTAGATGAAGCAAATAATATACTTATCGATATAAATTGTTATATTAAAAATATTATATAATAGTTAATATTTAGTTTATCATGTCATTTTTAATCCCAACTTTGCTCAAAATTTTGAAGTTTGTGTCAATTTTGATTTAAATAAAGAGGATTTAAAGGAATTATTGTTATTGTTATAAAGAATAAAGTTACAAATTTTAATAACTTAGTTCCATTAAATTAATAACTACTAAATCAAAATTTCGATACTTTAAAATTAAACCACTAAACATTCGAAGATAATTTTGTTCTTAAAGAACGTATGAGAAAAAAAATGTTCCTGTAGAAAGATTGCAGAGAAACATGAGTTTTATGTCGAACTTAAAATTTAAAATAAACTTGCAACTACAATTATTTTTCTTTCCACATTAAAAATATATTATTAATTACGTATACAATTCCTATATGAATCAAACGGAAGATGGCATTGTGGAAGACGTTTCCTAAAGAAGTTTCCTTAATCGCATGGAGTACATCTACATCTACAGTAGTCTAAGCGTGCTGACAATCGGCATCACCCTTATTCGCTCATGGACTTTCTTCTGGATGTGCTTGCGGGCTTCAATACGCTTGCACGATCGTATGTTTCGCAGCATTAGTCGCGCCACTATGCGATTCTTCAATACCAATACGTCGGGATATGTACGCAATCGCTTCTCCAAGGACATGGGCGCGGTAGACAAGATGCTGCCCATCGCGTTTATCGATTCTATCCAGATCGGTATGTCGCTGGTAACCGCCATCATCGTGATCGCTATCGCAAACGTGTGGCTGCTGATTCTTACGGTGATTGCCAGCATTGTCTTTTATTACCTGAGAATCTTTTATCTGGCCACTAGTTATAGCGTTAAGCGTCTCGAAAGCTTCAGTAAGTATTTTCAGCTTGTCTTTCTAGAATAGAGACAGCTTCCTCGATAGAATAAGATAGATTCGATCGCAGGTTGAAGTCAAGTCTCTTGAATTGACGATGGATGTCAATTCTTCGGCTAAAATGAGTGGAATTTGTAACTTCCTTTAGCCCCCGTTCACCGATCTTCCTCACCTGAGCGCAACTCTTCGAGGACTACCGATGATCCGTGTGTTTGGAATGGAAGCGACTCTCACGAAGGAGTTCGATAATTATCAGGATATCCATTCGTCTGTGTGGTACATCTTCATCGCATCCTCCCGCACCTTTGCCTTCTGGGTGGATGCTTTTTGCTTGCTATATATCACGCTGGTCACACTAAGCTTCCTTATGATGGACAACGGCTTTATGTATGGCGGATACGTAGGCCTAGCAATCACGCAGAGTATCAATCTTACTGGGAGATTACACTGGTGCATGCGCCAGAGCACCGAGGTGGAGAACCAGATGGCCTCGGTGGAATGTATCCTTGAATACAAGTACTCGCTTATCCTTTATATATCTTCATATTGTGTTTGTATTAATTATGTATCAATTATCTTTATTAATTGTCTTACTTTATTGAAATATGAGTTACCACTTATTTTATACTATTTCAATTACAATTTTCAATATATTGAAATTTTTTTTAAGTAAACACAGGATTTAATTATCTACCGATTTAGTGATCTACTTACATTATGAATCTCATACTCAAATGTTATTCCATTAATGACCGCATATTATAAATTCTTAAATTTCTAAATATTTCTTAAATTTGTTTAAACCTTGGGTAAAACTACAGAATAGGGGACCCCCCTCCTATGATCTTGACCTTGACATATGTTGTCAAGGTCATGACCCTGAGTAACCTCCACCAAGTTTTAGCTATCGCTCGTCCTTCGTTAAAGAGTTATTAACAAAAGAAGTTTGAAAAATAATATATTATTTCTGCTATATATGCAATATTGAATACTATTCTATATAGGTTTTGACCCTTCATTGGCGCACGACTCTCACTTCCGACTCTCACCTCCGACTCTCACTCCCTCCCCCTGCTTCAGGGGCGCACGACTCTCACCTCC